TTGTATATGTAGTGTTCGCAGCAAACATGGTGATAGGATGTAACTAAACGCACACAGATAATTAATGGTAAAATTAAATGTCTTATACTCCTTTTAAAATTCCAAATTTGCTTGCATTTTGCAAGCTGAATTCAGTTGTTTTTTTTTATGAAGCAAGCAGTGCAGGCTCGTCCATAGGGGCAGCTAGGGCAGCGTACCACCAGTTTTTCTTGCATAAAAAAAATAAACTATATAATTAGGATTAATAATCTCTAAAATTTTTGTTTGTGTAAATTTATACATAAAATGTGTTCTTTCCCATTAAATATTAGTACTGCTGTTCCTCTTGTTATTCCTCTCTGCTATTGCAGAAGCCTAATCGGATTGTTGGACAACATGCCAAAAATGTAAAACTCTATGGGAAGTAGCCTACTTCACCATCATTGGCTGCTAGGTAGCCCCTTATTGTTTGTAAATGGAGCTCATTAGAGCAGCAAACAGGTGGAACAAACATAGACCTTAGTATGCAGGCATACTGGGCTCTGATTGGCTGAGTGCACCAGAGGGTGGAATTTACAGAGCTCCACTTCCCCTGAGGCATGTGTCTGATTCTGCTCCCTCCTTCGCTCCCACAGCACAGCTCTCTCCTTCTCTCCTCCCCAGGTCTCCAGCACTAGCAGCCACTGCCTTGGGGACAGTCTAGCAGTGGCTGCATGTAAATCTAATTTTCTAATCAGTAAAAGAAGAAAGGACTGGGCACTCCAAATGTATTGGAACCCAAATGTCCAGCAGCAATGTTTCGATGGTCTTTTTCAAGCTGGAAACGTAAAAAATTTGGTGTAACGGATCGCCTGGCACCCCGACTGGGTACCTCCGTTGAAGGATGCTCCTAGCGCTTCCTGAGGACTCCAAGCACTGCAGCACACACCACAACCACCGAACCGGAGAAGCATTGAATCCTCTCAAGCATATGAATGCTGTAGACAGTTGAATAGGAACCATACGAATAGGTTTACTCTCCTAGCAGTCAAACTGGAACAGCATACAATAAATCCTTCCCCCAATAATGAGACGACACTTCACTTTGAGGGTTAAGCAGGAACTCCCTGTACTGTCACATACAGTCTCTTTTATTCCCAATCCACAAACATAGTACAGCCCACAGGGCGTTACAAAACAACCAATCAATCCGTACAATACACCCAGACACTCCCACACAAAATCCTCCCCTCTGCAGGTGATATGATTACTGAACACAATGGGTAATCTCATTATCACCGGCAGAGGAATACAGTTTTTACACAATATTTATAACTTCTAAAATATACATGTCACAAACATAAAACATACATTTTCATAATCAATCCATTCAGGGCAACAACATATTAAAAAATGGCACGAATCAGACCAGGGGTTCAAAAGTTAAGGGAAAGTCCTTTGTGACTAAATGAAGCATGGCTTTCTGGCCCAAACCAGTTTCAGAGTCTTCTATCCTGGAGAGTAATTCAATTATCTCCCAGGACAGACACAAGACTCCATTAAGCACATGGTTGCAAAAAGACACAAAACACTTTAAAATACATAAAGTCACCTTTTACACATAACACATAGACATTTCACATATCCCCAGATAGCTGGGATCTGAGCGCACAAAACTACTGAAGAGCGCTCAGATCCTATTCACACAGTTCAATTGCCATGGAGCCGAAGTCTTTAACTACACAAATGGGCTCCATGGCATAGCTATCTGGGTTAACACATTCTCATAAAGTCTGGTCCATAGTCCAAAGGCAGGGCAAGCAGCCCCCTCCAAGGACACGTGGCGAGGCCGGTTTCGCCACATTTCTCCCCTTTACCATCCAGACTAACAGGGTATCTGACCTCCTGCCGGTCAGTGCCCTGGTTAGTCCAGCAACCCACCCACGAAGCACAAACAGCAATACAGCCCACCCACAATAACTGGTTACTACACCTGGATAAAATAGCAACTTGTCCATGTCCAGGTGCCTCACCACGGCTGTGCGGGGGGCTGGTAGACTGCCTTGGTGGGTTGCTGAGTGGGCAGAGACCAGCGGTACTCTGCCCGGGTGCCAGCGCTACCACTGAAGTAGGCTGGTTGGAGCCTGGTTGTGGGAGGGGGAGACCGACTGTCTCCCCTCTGGATACACTGCTCTGTGGCTGGGGGACAGGACCAACCGTCCCTACCCCTGGTGCTGCAAGTGCAGAGACTACAGTCCCATCTGCATAGTTGTGGGGCTTAACATCTCCCCTTGGTGGGTTAGGCTGCCGCTGGAGAGAGGGTGTAACAAGCTCCTCTCTCTGAACTGTAGACTGCCGCTGGGGAGAGGGGGTAACCTGCTCCTCTCCCTGACACTCTCTTTGCTGGTGAAGAGGGGGACCAACTGTCTCCCCTTTCAATATTTTGTCATGCGGCTGGGGTGCGAGACAGACTGTCTCTGCTTCCTGGGGTGCACACTGCCGCTGGGGAGGAAGGACGGCACCTTCAGCTCCCTGGGGTACACACTGCCGCTGGGGAGGAAGGACAGCACCTTCAGCTCCCTGGGGTACACACTGCCGCTGGGGAGGAAGGACGCCACCTTCTGCTCCCTGGGATACACACTGCCGCTGGGGAGGAAGGACGACCGCTTCGGCTCCCTGTGACTCACACTGCCGCTGGAGATCTGGGCCGACCGCCCAGCATCCCTGTAGGGCCGGTAGAGAGACCGCCGTCCCATCTCCACCTGCCATCTGTGGGTCTTCCCAGGACCAGTCTGTGAGGTCCCTCAACATTTGCGAGTAAGGACCACCTGCTTCCGCACCTGGCAACTCCGGCTGCTGCTGGGGATCTGGGCCGGTCCCATCTCCACCTGCCTGTTGTGGTTCCTCACAGGACCAGTCTATGAGGACCCCTACTTCGGGTTCCTGCGGCCGCCTCAGGGGGAGACGGCTAGCCTCCTCGGATGCAGCCTCTACTCGGCTGCTGTAACACTCCTTCCGCTGAGCATACTCTCTCTCTTTCGCCAGCCGGAATTCTCGGGCCAGCCTTGTGTTTCGCTCGGCTGTGACCTGGTTCCAGATCACCCGGCGTACCTCCATGGGTAAATCATCCCCATACTGGGCCACTTGCTGCCTCACCTCGGCCATCCAATCATCGCCAGAGCATTCCATACTTGTCTGCTCCAAGTCGCTGGATACCTCTGCTCCCAGGGGCGCTGCACGTGTGCTAGCGTTGCCCTCAATTTGTAACTCCACGAATGGTGTCTCTGAGCTGCTTTACCTCGCACTAGGACGCCATCCCACCGCTTGCCACCAATGTAACGGATCGCCTGGCACCCCGACTGGGTACCTCCGTTGAAGGATGCTCCTAGCGCTTCCTGAGGACTCCAAGCACTGCAGCACACACCACAACCACCGAACCGGAGAAGCATATGAATCCTCTCAAGCATATGAATGCTGTAGACAGTTGAATAGGAACCATACGAATAGGTTTACTCTCCTAGCAGTCAAACTGGAACAGCATACAATAAATCCTTCCCCAATAATGAGACGACACTTCACTTTGAGGGTTAAAACAGGAACTCCCTGTACTGTCACATACAGTCTCTTTTATTCCCAATCCACAAACATAGTACAGCCCACAGGGCGTTACAAAACAACCAATCAATCCGTACAATACACCCAGACACTCCCACACAAAATCCTCCCCTCTGCAGGTGATATGATTACTGAACACAATGGGTAATCTCATTATCACCGGCAGAGGAATACAGTTTTTACACAATATTTATAACTTCTAAAATATACATGTCACAAACATAAAACATACATTTTCATAATCAATCCATTCAGGGCAACAACATATTAAAAAATGGCACGAATCAGACCAGGGGTTCAAAAGTTAAGGGAAAGTCCTTTGTAACTAAATGAAGCATGGCTTTCTGGCCCAAACCAGTTTCAGAGTCTTCTATCCTGGAGAGTAATTCAATTATCTCCCAGGACAGACACAAGACTCCATTAAGCACATGGTTGCAAAAAGACACAAAACACTTTAAAATACATAAAGTAACCTTTTCACATAACACATAGACATTTCACATATCCCCAGATAGCTGGGATCTGAGCGCACAAAACTACTGAAGAGCGCTCAGATCCTATTCACACAGTTCAATTGCCATGGAGCCGAAGTCTTTAACTACACAAATGGGCTCCATGGCATAGCTATCTGGGTTAACACATTCTCATAAAGTCTGGTCCATAGTCCAAAGGCAAGAGGCGGGCAAGCAGCCCCCTCCAAGGACACGTGGCGAGGCCGGTTTCGCCACATTTGGCATTTAGGTTCCAAAAATGTTAATATATAAAGTCTTGGAGTACCTGGACCTTTCTTCTGTTCCTGATTACAAACTATCTCTAGTTACAGCCGAGGCTGGCGCCATCATTGGAGACCGAAACGGAGTGTGGCCAATAGGGTACAAACATTATCACCTGTCGGCTCGCTCTTTCATTATATAGTGTGGGAAGAGAAGAATATGGAGAAGGAAAGGAACTGCTCATGATCCAAAGCATACCACCTCATCAGTGAAGCATGGTGGTGGTAGTGTCATGGCGTGACCTGAATCCGATTAAGCATGCATTTCACTTGATGAAGACAAAACTGAAGGGAAAATGCCCCAAGAACAAGCAGGAACTGAAGACAGTTGCAGTAGAGGCCTGGCAGAGCATCACCAGGGATGAAACCCAGCGTCTGGTGATGTCTATGCGTTCCAGACTTCAGGCTGTAATTGACTGCAAAGGATTTGCAACCATGTATTCAAAAGTGAAAGTTTGATTTATGACTGTTAATCTGTCCCATTACTTTTGGTCCCTTAAAAAGTGGGAGGCACATATGCAAACTGTTGTAATTCCTACACTGTTCACCTGATTTCAAATCCATTGTGTTGGTGTATAGAGCCAAAAAGATTATAATTATGTTGATGTCCCAATATTTATGAACCTGACTGTATGTTTGAAATACAGATTTGCAAGTACACAAAGATTTAGGGGTAACACCTCTCCACAATCAGTAAGTCTCTTCAAGGTCCAGCAAACTATTTGTTTAACCCCTTAAGGACTGGACTGTTTTTCGATGTTGTACATTTGTAACCAGGCCTCTTTTTACACTTTTGTGGTGTTTGTGTTTAGCTGTAATTTTCTGCTCTCTCATTTACTGTTCCTTTACAAATTATATATTGGTTTTTTTCAGGACAAAAAAGGCTTTCTTTATATACCATCATTTATATAATCTCATGTAATTTAATTTAAAAAAAATAAAAAAAATATGTTTTTTGACTTTTACTTGAAAAATCTTTTACTCATCTACAAAAGCGAATAAAAAAAACTGCTAAATAGGTTAAAAATTTTGTCCTGAATTTTAAAATACCCAGTGTTTACATGCTTTTTTTGCTTTTTTTTTTGCAAGTTATAGGGCTATAGGTACAAGTAGGATATTGCGGTTTCAAAACATAAATTTTTTCAAATGTATCCATAGTGACATTGTAACACTATTATCTGTCATAAATCTCTGAATAACACCCCACATGTACATATTTTTTTTAAAGTAGACAACCAAGGGTATTCAATATGGGGTATGTCCAGTTTTTTTTAGTAGCCACCTAGTCGCAAACACTGGCCAAAGTTAGCATTCATATTTGTATGTGTGTGAAAAAAGTAAAAAACTAAATTGAATGCTAATTTTGCCCAGTGTTTGTGACATACCCCATTTGCAATACCTTGAGTTGTCTTCTTTTGCAAATGGTATTCCATCATGGGGGTAATTCTCATTCCTGGGCTTCCATACGCTCTCAAAGGCAACGTAACCAACCTGGCCATTTTCAATGTAAAAATATTTTACCCATATATTTGACCATGTAACTTTCAAAAACGCTATAAAATCTGTACATGGGGGGTACTGTTATACTCAGGATACTTTGCTGAACACAAATATTAGTGTTTCAAAACAGGAAAACGTATCACAACAATTATATCATCAGTAAAAGTGCTGTTTGTGTGTGAAAAGTTTGAAAAAGTCACTTTCACTGACAATATCATCGCTGTGATATGTTTTACTGTTTACTAATTTTACTAATATTTGTGTTCAGCGAAGTCTCCCGAGTAAAACGGTACCCCCCATGTACAGGGTGTCATAGAAAGTTACAGGGTAAAATACAGTACTAGCAAATTAAATTCTCTGGACTTTCGGCCTGGGTTGACAGGCAGGTCCCTCAAATTGCAATTAATAAAATTACTTAATTATGTAAAAATATTACATAAATACGCACGTAGAATTTAAATATATATGCATATTTATATATTTGAAGTCTACGTGTATATTTATATAATTATTTACGTAATTTTGTATATGGACATATGTATATTTCGTATTATTTTTATTTATTTATATATACATAGATATATATACAATTTCATTCTAAGTGTATTTTGATATAAATATATATATATTTTAATATCAAAATACAGTTAGAATAAAATTTCATATAGATATAATTTTTTTTTAAATTTTATTATTATTATTTTTTTTATTTCATTTAATCTACTTATTTGTATTTTATAATAATATATATACACAATATATATATATAGTTATTATATATATTATATATATATACACGTGTGTAATTTAATTATTAGTGTATTTTTATATTAATATATGTACATATTAATATAAAAATACACTTAGTGGGGCGTGGCTTAGCGGCGAATGAGAGCGGTCGCCTGATCTCGGAGCTCTCCCGCCGACGGGTGTTTACAGCGTGACTACACAGCATACAAGCACCGGCAAGAGCGGCAAACAAGCGGGCATACCCCCACCTCATAATGTCCACAAAGTCCGCCAAGAAATTCAAACAAAAGACCCTCCAAATGCAAGTAATAGCGTCGCCGAAGTGCGGACAGGAGGAACAAAATGGCGCCGACCAGCCCCAGTCCCCAGCCTCATGCTCAGAAGGCGGTGAGTTTACCCTCACTGCAGATGACATGCAAGCACCAGCCACAAATGCTTCACTACAGAACATGCTATCTGAATTAAAGCACACCTTCAAAACAGACCTGAAACAAATTGCTACAGATATCAGGGCTGACATTCAAGCTTTAGGTGAAAGAACAGCACGTCTGGAAGAGAGAGCAGAGGAAACTATAGAGGCCCATAATAGCCTAGCAGAGGCACACAACGACCTAATACAGAGAGTACAAAGCCTAGAAGCAAAAGTGGCAGACCATGAAGACCGGGACCGCCGCAACAATATTAGAATCCGGGGAATACCGGAATCAGTCGGCTCCCTAGATCTAACCCAATATGTAAAGGAAATATTTACAGCATACGTTCCAGCATTGAAAGAAACTGAGTTGCTGCTTGACCGCACACACCGCCTTCCAAGACCAAAGCACCTACCGACTACAGTACCGAGAGACGTCATAACGCGAATACACTATTTCACAACGAAAGATCGAATAATGCAAGCGTCTAGACGCCAAGGTCAGCTCCCAGGTCAATTTTCCCAAATCAAGCTATTTATTGACCTCTCCACTGCGACTATGATAAAAAGGCGATCGTTTACCCACATCACAGCGGCATTGAGAGCGGCGGAAGTACAGTATAAATGGGGCTTCCCGACCAAGTTACTAGTAAAACGCAACGGCGTAGACAACCTGATTCTTGATCCTGAATCCGGTAAAAGACAACTGTTGGAGTGGAACATCCCAATACCAAATGACCCCTTGCTAGCTACGGAGGATAGATCTGCAATCAAACTCCACACTGAATGGAAGAAACAACCACGTCCCAAGACTACACAAAGACAAGTCTAGCAGGATCAGAACTTCCAATCGTGTGCTGACCACACGGTACGCATACGGGACAGGTCGTATACAAAGACTATAATAGTACATGCTCCTTTCTTGCAAATTACCATGCCGGGCTAAAAGCCTACCTACACCCAGGGAGGGCGCCACTAAGGCCACCCAGAATTGCTATGATAATTTTTGTTGTTAAATCCTTGCAACTGATTTCAATAACCACCCCCAATGTGGCTACCGACCCAGAGCCACAAGAGAATCCGTTAGATTTGACACTGCACCGCAGAGGCGCAGTGAACGGAACGCTGTACATAGTTGATTATTGGTTCAGTTATTATATTGTTTTAACCCTTTTTAATTTTATAAGGCAAACCCCACAGACAGTATGTCCCGCATCCTTAACACCATCTGGCACCAACAGGTTAGCTATACAATTACCTCCCATTAGGGAACCTAATGTTGGAAGAGCACCCTGTCTCCCCCCGAGTAGCCACAGACTACACCACATGTCAGATGGTACTTAAAATATGCTCCCTAAATACTAAAAGGCTGAATTCCCCTCACAAGCGCCGCCTAGCACTGCGCGAAGCAAAATCATTAGGTGCCCACGTAATGCTCTTCCAAGAAACGCACTTCCAATGGGGTAACAGACCGAAGTTTAACTCCCCACAGTATCCCATAGATTTTCACTCATGTTACTCCAAAAAAAAAAGAGGAGTATCCATCCTTATTGGCAGAGATGTGGCCTTCTCCCTAATACGCAAAATAGGAGACAAAAAGGGAAGGTACCTTATATTGCAATGCTCCCTAAATAATAATGTCTATACCTTAATTAATGTCTATGGACCTAATGTTAACCAATGTAACTTTGTTGATGTATTGCTTGGTTTGATGTCTGCTCACGCACTTGGGGAAGTGATCATTGGGGGTGACACGAATTTCTTACTAGACAGTGACCTAGACTCATCAGGAGGTCCCCAATTGACTGCACAAACACTAAAGAGCAGGTCCAAACTAGCCACACTAATATGCAACAAACTAACACCGCACAATCTTGTAGACCCATGGAGAGTCACCCATCCCACAGAGAGGGACTACACATGCCACACAGCAGCGCATAAGACTTATTCGAGAATAGATAGGTTTTTGATCCGCACCTCCTCCATCATAAAGGTTGAGCGCACAGACATAGGCCTTATTACATGGTCAGACCATGCCCCTATTACACTACAACTTAGGGAACAATTCCCCAACTCAGGAAGAGGCAGTTGGAGACTCAATGAACAATTACTCGCTGACCCTGCCATAGTTAACCAAATAGAACAAGATCTACAGTTTTATTTTAAAGAAAACAAAACCCCAGACTCACCTCTACCCCAAATATGGATGGCGCACAAAGCTTTCATAAGAGGCAGCTTCATCAAGCACGCCAGCTACGCAAAAAAAAAGCGACTAGAATCTTACACAGCCATACTTTCTGAACTAACCTCCCTAACTCACACCAACAAACACACCCCCACAGCAGCCACACATACCAAATTATTGCGCTTACAATCGCAGCTCAGAGATTTGGAACTGGCCAAAACCACATCCCTCATGCGCAAGTTTAAACACAGCTTTTTTGCTACAGGCAACAAAGCGGGAGCGCGGCTGGCTGCCCAATTGAAACAGAGGACGGCTAACTCCAAAATTGCCTCCATCAAGGGTTCCGGGGGAACCTTAATTTTAAACCCACAGGGGATAGTGGACGAATTCGCCCATTATTATGAAAAATTATATAATCTGAAAGATGACCCACAGACAGTCTGCCCCTCTAAAGCAGATATTGACGCTTTCCTGGCAGGAATCGACCTTCCTACCCTATCTCAGATGGAGGCGGATCAACTTAACAAACCCTTCACGACCGAAGAGATCACCTCGGTGATCTCCACGCTCCCACTACATAAAGCACCGGGACCTGATGGCCTGCCCAATAAATATTACCGCACCTTCCTTAACACCCTGGCGCAACCTCTTGGCGCTCTATTTAACCACTGCATGACAGAAGGGGCATTGCCAGAAGAAGTCACAATGGCACATGTATCCACACTTCCCAAACCGGGCAAAAATACAGATCAATGTAAAAACTTCAGGCCCATTTCATTGTTAAATAGTGATGCCAAAATCTACGCAAAACTATTTAGCGAAAGATTGGCACCGTTGCTACATAAATTAGTACATAATGACCAGTCCGGATTCGTGCGGGGCCGACAAAGCTCTGATAACTCGAGGAAAGTGCTAAACATAATAGCGGGAATGGAGAGGGGACAAATCGGAGGTCTTTTCCTGGCGCTGGACGCCGAAAAGGCCTTTGACAGACTTAACTGGCAATATATGACACAAGTGCTGTGCAAGTATCAGTTCCCCGAAGAGGTTATCAGGGGAATCCTGGCTCTGTACGCACGACCCAGTGCTAAGGTCTCCCATGGGGGCTTCCTGTCACGCACTTTCCACATTACGAATGGGACACGCCAGGGTTGCCCACTATCCCCCCTGCTATACATACTCTCCCTGGAGCCCTTGGCTTGGAAGATAAGACAACACCAGGCCATAACCGGTATCACACTGGGGGACAGGGAATATTGTCTGGCGATGTTTGCGGACGATATTTTCGTGGCGCTTTCAAATCCAGAACAATCGCTGCCCCCTCTACTAACTCTACTGACAGACTATGGTAGAATATCATACTACCGTCTGAATAAGGAGAAAACACAAGCCCTACCGATAAACCTACCAGGGCCAAATGTAACTACCCTTAAGAACTCCTTTGAACTCGACTGGCGAACAACATCTATAACGTACTTAGGGGTTAAGATCGCCGCTCCTATTAGCAACATAGTAAAGCTCAATTATAAGCCCCTCATACATCTATGCACCACAGAAATACATAAATGGAAGAATGCAAAATTGTCCTGGCTGGGCCGAGTGAATGCATATAAGATGATGCTTTTGCCAAGGTTACTGTATATATTCCGCATGCTCACAATAGACATCCAAGCCGCAATCCACAAATCGTTACAAGCCATATGCAACTCCTTCATCTGGGGGGGTAAGAAACCCAGGCTGCCCCTAGGTCTCCTACAACGGACGACCCAAACGGGGGGTATAGGCATGCCCAACATTGGACTCTATTACAAAGCCTCTATCCTAGCAACGAGTATACACATACACGCCCAAAAGGGGGTAACACAGTGGGTGGATATGGAACAAGACCAACTTAAGCACACCTCACTGCTTAATTACCTATGGACGCCGAGAACACTAAGAGGCCCCAAAGTAACTCTATACCCCACCACACTCGCAACGGTCAGAGTATGGGACGACTTTATGTCCTCCCTGGGCTGGAGGAAACACTTCCACCCTGAAGCTCCCCTTACTGCACTACATGCAGTGAATCCTACGATCCCACTAAACAGATGGTCACGCTTAGGTATATCCCAAATCCAACAACTGTGTACAGACCAGACGATCATGAGTTTCCCAGCCATCAGAGACAGATGGAAGGTCCCGGAGAGGGATATCTTTCCCTACTTACAACTGAAAAACACAATAAACACACACGTCAAGGGCACACCTCACACTGGGCCTACTCCTGCGGTAGCAGCGAGACTGATACCCCACAGATGCTGGACAGCCCCGATGAAACCCAAAGCCCTCTCACTTTGCTATAAAGCATGGCTTGACCTAGCACCACAAAAACCGATGACATGTAAACAGCACTGGGAGACTGAGAGGGGGACAGTCATGACAGAGGAAAGGTGGATGCTGGCCCTAAATGTGATCAAAAAGTGGACCAAGTGCTACTCACATATTGAAGCGCATCGCAAACTACTATATAGGTGGTACATGACACCCACCAGACTACACAGAATGTACCCAGACGTTTCCACCAAATGTTGGAGATGCGGTGTGGAAGAGGGAACCCTGCCACACATATGGTGGCATTGTGGAGGGATACAACCTATCTGGAGAGATGTTCAGACCCTATTGAAAGATCTCGGCATTAGAGACTTCCCCATGGACATAACGACCTGCCTACTCTTGCTGTTCCCCGAAACAACACAAAAAAACCACACACAATTGATAGGGATAGTTTTAATGGCCGCTAGAAACCTGATAGCTCTAAACTGGAAAACACCTCGCTGCCCAGCCATCCACCAATTGGCAGACAAAATACAACAATTCTATATATACGAGAAAATGTCCACTGACAACGCCAGGGCCACGGAAAGGTTCCAAAACACTTGGAATATCTGGGAGACATGGTATGAGAGACAGAAACACCAGGGAGGGTGAGAGGGGAAGAGGGGACCCAGAAGAGTCAGGGCGGCCCAGGGAAACATGGACGGTGACTTATGTGAGCTGACATGGCCAAAGTACGCAGGAAATGCTGGATTCAAACTATTATGATTTGCCTGTATATTTGTTTGTGTATATACCCTTGTTACGTTTATTTGAATTGTAATACCAACCCAATTGAAGAGTAATTGCAAACCAGCTTCGATAAAATGTTACATAGTACACGGAGGCAGATGATGCTACTGTATAACTTTAAAGTACAAATATATTACCCTGTAACCCGCTGAATACTCGTTGTATACACTATGAAACAACTGTGTACTGGATCTTTACCTTTGAAAAACCTTCAATAAAAAATAAATATAAAAAAAAAAAACCACAAATGGTATTTTATTTAGAATTATTTCAGTGCTTCACAAATGTCCAATGCATGATACCATGCATATGCAATGAAACATGATATCATAAATGAATAGAAATTGCAAAAAACATGTAGAATGTATCTCCTTTACTTGGGTTCTATTAAAGTTTTTGAAACCAACAATGAGTAGTAATGGTATAAGTATAGGACAAAATATTAATTTCATGCACAGAAAACTGTTCAATATACAAACCGAGTTTTACTTTTTGCCTTTATTTTATCACTCTTGCAGCAAACTGGGCAAAATATTAGTTTATAGAGGAAACTGAGTCCCCCAATCAAGTGGATGGGTCACCGCAGCAGAAAACCACACTGGACTAATGTCAACAATGAACAGGAAACTGAGACTACAGTGGAAACAGGCATATCAAAAGTAGACAGTAGAAGATTTAAAATAATGTCATCTGGTTTGATAAATCTCATTTTCTAACATCATGTCTGCACGAATGGCGGCCAGTCAGCCATTCCTTGTGGTTTGCGGTTTGACACCATGTTGCGAGGTGTGAATGTTCTAAACTAACATTCTAAATGGGATTTAGGGGTTGTCTCCGTTTGGGAGGTGAATGGATTCCCTTTGTTGAAGCTCTCCCAAACGGGGAGCGGGCAGAAGACGCGAAATTACACACATAATAACAGACAGGCAATTCACGAACAGGTAGCGATCCCGCCACACTATACACTTGTGATAATATTCCATATTTATTAAGAATGATTGATTGATCACTATTGAGCAAATTAAACTATTATAGCTAGGATGGTGCTTGTAAGCACATAACCCATACAGGCAGTGTCACTAGACACAGTTCAGGATGTCACAGCTATTAATACACAGCATAAAACTGTGAAACCACAAAACACAGCGTCAGCATGACTCATGCGTACCATCACGATAATAGTATAGGGCTAGCTTATAGATAAGAGATAGGCTAACCGCACAGACATGGAATGACGTTTTTGGTGGTCCTGAACAGCCTGGCTCGCTGCCAGTCCCATCCAGCACTTGTGACAGATCTTTGATGGGCTGCAATGATAAAGAGACTTGGTGGAAAAGTACAGATTATCCATCCCATTGGTAAAAAAGTATAAAAGACGGTGAAACTTGGCACTCACTTGGATACTACCCACCTGTACTACAGACGCTGTGTTGCTGGTTCTGTTGTTCCCAGTAGAGAGGGTCCCTCCTTGCCTGACTGCCAGAGTTCCCCCCAATCGTTTGCAGCGGAGCGACAACCAAGCTTCTCTAATGGTGATGTATACTTTAGCTGAATATCTAGATAATTAAGCTGTCCCCTGTCAGAGTATTTATATTGGCAGACATTTTGTGCTATGATAGAAACTAAAAGTGTATATTCTGAGTCACTCTGAACAGACCAGACTCCATTTTGTTATTTCAAGTTAACAGAAAGACACTATATTTCTATCTGTAAGCTAACCACTTTCCCAGAGCTGAGGAATGCATAGTATATACAAGCCAAGTGATAAGGAAGGGGGTTGGACAGACTGTCTAATGCTAATGGAATATAATCAAATCTAAACCCAGACAATTGTGACAGAGAAGATTAAATGATAAAATTTAACTGTCTATATATATATAAGGTACCATTGTATGGAAAAGGGTAAACTTAGTTCATGATCTGTCATATCAGAAATTATGGCAGGAATTGCAGACGCTAAGTCTGGACAAAATTTAAGAAACCCTTTGAAATTTTAAATTATGGCGCTATAAAGATAACCCAAAATGACGTCAAAATAGCCACCAGGAAAAGTTAACTCTTTCCTGGATAGGTATGTTTAGTGGGACAAGACTGCCCTCTACAGACCAAATACCTAATTTGCGATCTGGAAGATAACCACACCTCTAGTGCTTCTATTGGGTTATCAACTGATGACGTACAGAGAGTCTGGCCCTTTAAAAGTTAAGACAAAGGGAAGATAGTATACGGGAGAGGAGGCAGATGCAAGATATGCAAAGGAGAGGAGAGAGGAATTGGAAGTTTGGGGATTCCAACTCGGACAACATCTGAGACTAACACTCTACTCCTAAAACTCTAACACTTAGAATTTACTGACTTTCTAACCAACACCTCCATGCAGAGAGACTACCAATCGGATGAAATATCTACTCAACTGGTAATTATACTGGTTTCATTTAATTAAATTAAATTAATTAAAATGTATTAATAGCATTATATATGACTGGATAAAGCACGGTCAGATTTCCATATTAAGAAATCTTAGTTAACTAAGAATATATAGTTATAAACATTCCATTCTGCAGGTGGAATTAAGAATAATTATATATTGATGTGATATTATCACGTGTTAGCATACCGCTGTTTTTATCCAGGTGTATTGATTTGCTCTAAATTAAGATAGATATCTTTTAGACAAATTAAAAATCTGCTTATATAATGTAGTAAATTATCTTATTGGATGATTTTAAGAAAATGACTAGTGAACTGGTTTAAATGTTATTTTATTTAAAATTACATAAGAATAGATCTTAACTACCTAGGAGATCTAGCCAGCATTGAAAGGGTTATTCTAACTGTCGGCTAAACTTTACGACCTTATGCTGCACTCTGAGGAATTCTGTTCTTCGCTGTGAAAAGTTTCACTTTCAGCCTGTGTTAAAGATGGTAATAAATAAGTCTTGACAGATAATGCTGTTTTAGCCATTGAAACGTAATACCCATTTCTTTGTATTGCATATAATTTTGTACTGAATATTCATTGATTATTGTCATGCATGTTACATATATTATTATTAATTATTGGTTATCATAAATAAAATCTATTTTTATACATTGTGATATTATTTATATGGTATACATTCCACTTAACACGATAAACGTTCTTTGGGATCTGAGAATTGAAATAGTGGGCAATTCTCAACTGTTACTATTATTATCCCATAAATATCCCCACATATTGGAGGCACGGTGCTGAGATCGTTTAAGTTGAAATTATATTTCATATATAATAATAATATTGGTGTAATTCATGCAATTTAATCTTAATATAGAAAAGAGTTTTGTATTGAGATTAATCAATAAAATAAAAATAAAAATGGCCAGTGGCAGTGATAAATCTGTAACAGATAATACTGAAATAATTGAAGACCTAAGAAAACATGCTCTAGTTCATATTCATAAACATATGAAAAATGATGCAACCTATGAGGTTTGGTTGAAAAGCATAGAATGGGAAGCTAAACACACCATTCTAACTGATGAACACATCATCATATATCTTAAAGAAATTGCTGAACAAAAGAACATAGAAAGGAAAATGGCGTTCATAATACACTCTTGGCCTTTCTTTATGACAGCACTTCTTAAGGTGTGTGATGAAAACAAGTCATTGAATGCCAAATTGGACACGTACAGTGACGATTTGGGCATTCAAAATGGGAAATACCAAGATTTACTTGCTGAGCATAAAACTCGTCAGGCTGATCATGAAAAAGAAATGAAAGCTTTGACGGATAAATATGCACAGGAAATAAATCAGCTTAAAATGCAATTGGATGAGTATGAAAAGGAGAGTCAGAAATTAGACAGTGAGGTTGGTAGTCATCATTCTGTGCCAAAAAGTTGCACAAAAATGCAAGAAAAGACTATCTGTAAATCCCCTCCTTATTATGATTTTC